ACAAAACTGCCCAAAGGCAGAACCTGGAAAATGTGAGTATGAGAATTTGTGTGGGTAAGCCAGATCAGGACCCCTAATTTATAAAATGTGCAAAAGAGAAATTATGCAAAATCAATGCACAGAACGAGGTTGAACTGTATTCCATTTGAGAAAAACCAATTCATTTTCCCTCCAAGACATGCATGTTAATGGGTGCTGGTTTTCAGGCAGCTACCTTAAGTCCCAGTTTGCTGCTTAAGTGTACTTCAGAGATAAGAAATGCAACGGAGCTGTACAAAATGAGACAACTTTCCTCCTGTCTCTTGTGCATGATAAATGCTAAAGCAATTAGGAACCACTGTTGCATGTTACATTGGAATTTGTCAGTAACATCAGTGGTGTGCTATATAAATGGAGGAAACTTATTTAGAATAAAGTCCCGAGAACCTAAGAGGAGATCACTGGTTTAACTTAATTTTAAACATTTGGGTCCATAGAACTGAACGAGAAGCAATCCCGTCCTTCATTTTTTCAATCTCAGAATATCCATTACAGTGTCTTCTGTATGGCAATCATCTGAATTAGCATTTCAATAACAAAAGGAGCAAAGAAATATTGAAATGGAAAGTGGATTCTTAAATGTCTACAGAAAAATGTGAGACTTAGAGTTCATTTTGTAACTCCGAGAAGCTTTTCAACATTTTCGTACTTTCTGCATCATTTTCAGGGAATTGAATACATGTAGGCCTATATTCGTGCTCATATTTTTGTTACTGTTTCTTTTAACTTTCTCAGAGCAGTTTAGGAACCATCTGTCTGACCTTGCTTTCTTATTCCATTTTTTTTCTTCTTTACATTAGTTATGATTCTGCTCATTCTGCTTAGAATTATAGTTAAATATATCACATTAATTACACAGTAGATATAACCCATGTAAGATGTCGATACTGCAAAAAACCTCTTTTGCAAGACTACTATGTCTTTTTGTGGGGGTGTGACAATGATACTTGGTCAACATTGGAGTTGTCAAGTGTTCTAATCTGGTTCCTTAGCACATTAGAAAACTATAGTTGACTCTTGGTTGGTATAGAGTTGACATTCTGGAATTGGGTTTAGAACTACGAGGGATCTTAGGCATGGTGTAGACCAAGCCCTACCACCCTTCCAACTATTTGTCTATTCACCCACTTCTCTCCCTTGGAGAAATTATTTTAATTACCCTTCCCATCTATTAAAGTCCCGATAAGAAGTCTGGTAGGAGGATAGGATAAAATGATTGGAAATATTTCTTTCTAGTCTAGAGTTTATGACCCATGATACTCCATGGAAAATGAGAGTTTGCCACATCAGATTTGAAAAGAGGATCTTCTCTTCTCCCTCCCTGTCCAGCTCCACCAAGAAATTCTCATTACACTGAAGGTGCTCATAATATTTCACTTTGTGGATTCAGAAACTTAAACCAATTTTCTACTTTCCCCACTTACGATAAAGTAAAACTTTATCTTGCCAGAATTAACGAGAAAAAATCTTATCTGAAACTCCAATTGCTAAATCACAACTGAGACAAAAGGCCAGCCTATCCTAATACAAAGAGTCATATTACAAAAGACACACCAGATGACCCTACATTGAAAGCCCTATGTACCACATGGTAAACAAAATCCTCTAGACTGATTTTGATGTGTTACTGTAATGAATTTATACTCTGAGCTGGCACCAAATCATTGTAAGTAATGAGATAGAAGACTTCCACTTCTGGCCAAGATAGACCGGATTTATTCTCCCACCTGAAAAAACACAAAATAAAAATCCTTCAAAATATGAAACAAGGATTTTCAAGACACCAGACATCAACTAATATAGGTCAGTGATCCCTCAGAGGTGAGAAACAAACTTGGTAAGCCCTACAATTGACCTGTCTTACTACTTTGAGAGCAATTTCAGACCATGGTGCAGGAGTGGAAAATCTAAGCCAACCCCTGAATTAAAGAGATGGACCTCTAAGCACAAGGAAGTCAAGATGGCTAGAATTCATGAGATACATTCCCATAGAGGAAAGATCTTCACAGAGAACTCCAGAGATGTGTAGAGGGTTCTCCTTGAGTATTCAGCAAAATAACTGATCACACCAGGCATGGAAGGAAATTATTTGAGGCCATAGGAAGAACCACCTGAAAGGATTAGAGGTAACAGTGCTTGGTACTCACACAGGCATAGAAGTAGGACATGTTCCTGTCAACCAGAATGGAAAACCTCAAGATTTATGGGATATTGGATAGAATACTCAGAAAGCTCTTGCCTCAGTATTGGGGAAAATTAGCCCTAAACTGAACAATGCTCCAGACTTACCTAGGGAATCTTACAAATAAGATGTGAAAGGAACAGCTTTTGAATAATTTAACTGTGTTCCAGGAAAAAAAAAAAAAACAACTAAAGAATATTTATAAGATTACAAAATATCCGGGTGCCTGGGTGGCTCAGTTGGTTAAGCGACTGCCTTCGGCTCAGGTCATGATCCTGGAGTCCCTGGATCGAGTCCCGCATCGGGCTCCCTGCTCGGCAGGGAGCCTGCTTCTCCCTCTGACCCTCCCCCCTCTCATGTGCTCTGTCTCAAATAAATAAATAAAATCTTAAAAAAAAAAAAATCCAACATTCAACAAGATATGATCACAATGCCTGGCACCAAATAAAAAAATCAGTGGGCATGCAAAAACACAAAACATAAATAGGACCCATAATGAAGAGTAAAATTAATGGGAACCTATCCAGAAATGACACAGATGATAGAATTAGTAGACATGGCCATTAAACAGTTTTTATAACATATATTAAAAAGTTAATTAGAGAAAGGGAAGATATATAAATGACACAAATGGAACTGCTAAAGATGAAAACTATAATTTTGGAGATGGAAAAATATACTAGATGGGATGAGTGGCAAATAAGATATTGTAGAAGAAAAGATTGTTCAACTTGAAGTCATAGCAATAAAGTCAATTCAACATAAAACAAAGAAAAAAGAGAAGTAACAAAAATGACCAGGGCATTAGTGAACTGTGGGACAATTTCAAATGTGCTAGTATACGTGACTGAAGTCCATGCAGGAGGAGGGGGAGGTGGGAGACCAGAAAAATAATTTAAAGTAATAAGGGGCAAAATTTTTTCCAAATTTGATGAAAACTATAAATTCATGGGTCTAAGACGCTTAATAAAAACAAAGCACAAGAAACACAAAGAATTACACCAAAACACATCGTGATCACATTATGTGCAGAGGAACAAAGATAAGATGATAGCAGCTTTCTCATTAGAAATGATGCAAGTGAGAAGCCACTAGAGCAACATCTTTAAAGTTCTGATAGGATTTTTTAAAAAGTCTACCTAGAATTCTATGCCCAGTGAAAAGAGATTTCAAAATCCATGGTGAAATAAAGACTTTTTCAGATAGATAACAGCTGAAAGAATGTGGCACCAGCAGACTGCTCTTTAAAGAAAGGAAGTAAAAGGCTAAAGATTCATGCAATCTGAAGAGAAACAAGAGTTTCTAATGCTTGGAAAATTAAACAAGATGGAAATAGAGATTTACACAAAAGAATGAAGTGACTGAAAATGGAAACTCTATGGGTAAATTTATAAACTATTTTTCTTATTATGTATACGTCTTTAGAGGATGCTTGAGGACATCAGTGGGAATATAAGGACCTCTGAAATTTCTTTCCCCAATAAAACCAAGGAGTAGACTGACAAAAATGGTCAGAATCAACTTTTTTAGAACTCTGAAAGTTAACAAAAGACTTGCAGCAATCCAGGAACTGTTTACTCAAAAAAACAAAACAAAACAAAATCCACAAAAACCAGTTGAATCTTGGTAAGAACACTGACCTCTGTGGTGTTTTCACTTGCCCTATTCCCATCTCCCTATGCTTAGCTATGTGGTAGCCTGGAATACTAATAGCCCTCAATCATTGTGAAAACCAGCCACTTGGCAGCCACTGGAGTGTGCAGAAAAGGGTAGGAGCTCCTTCAAAGCCTCATTCCCAAATGACTGCCATTATTGACCTGTTTGGTGGTTCCCAGGATGAACGCACTCACAAAGCTTGTCTATATTTGACCTAACACAGAGGTGTGCCGGTGCCAATGAACTTTTCCCTGGGGGCATTTGTTAAAACCAAACAGTATTAGTTGTTTAATATGGCAACTGCCTCAGACTGTAGATAACAGTTGAGATAAACAATAAGCTTACTAAAAAATCTTAAAAGGAAACTCTGGAAGATGTGATATCCATAGGAGGCTTTGAAAGGCTCTGAAATGTTTCTGTGAACCTAGAAGGAAAAGAACAGGTAGTGATGGGGGCATGCCCAGGGCTGTGCACATGCTCATGAGAGACCTGAGAAGACAAAGGTCTCACCACTGTCTAACCTGTAGGATTCTATACCAGCAGGAGGAGAAGGCTAAAAAAGGGTTGTGAACGGCCTGGCTGAGAGTTGAAGCTGTGCCCCAGGGATCACAGAGCCACTCGGCAGTGGCTGGGAGATTTATTGGTTCCAGGCATTTAAGGAAATTTCTGTAAAGTAATTATCTGGACACTAATCTAAGTGAAGCAGAGACTTTAGTGGCTACACATGACAAAAAAACACAAATTTTGACAGAATTAGTACAGAAACATCATTACACAAACAAACAAGCAACAACGACAAATAGCTACACCAACAAAACTTTTGGGGGGGGCATTTGATATGCAAAGTCCTCACATTACTACTTTAAATTTCCAATTTTCAAGAAAAAAATTATGAGACACGTAGAAAAGCAAAAAAGTATAGCCCATATACAGGAAAAGAAGTAGTCAACAGAAACAATTCCTAGAGGAAGCCTTGACTTCAGACTTAACTAGACAATCACTTCAAATCAGCAATTTCAGTTTTCCCAAAAGTAAAGGAAACGATGAGAATATAAGAATGATGCCTCACTAAATAGTGAATGTTAATACAGAGATAGAAATTATTTAAAAAGAACCAATAAGTGCGCTCACCTTGGCAGCACATATGCCAAAATTGGAACGACACAGAGAAGATTAGCATGGCCCCGTGCAAGGATGACACACAAATTCATGAAGCAGTCCATATTTTTAACTGGAATTTAAATTTAAAAAAAAAAGAAGAAAAAAGTAAACAAGTACTTAAAAAATAAAAAGAAGAACCACTAAGAAATTCTGGAGTTGAGGGGCGCCTGGGTGGCTCAGATGGTTGAGCGTCTGCCTTCGGCTCAGGTCATGATCCCAGGGTCCTGGGGTCGAGTCCCGCATTGGGCTCTCTGCTCCTTGGGAGCCTGCTTCTCCCTCTGCCTCTCTCTCTCTCTCTGTCTCTCATGAATAAATAAATAAAATCTTTAAAAAAATAAAAAATAAAAAATAAAAATAAATAAAAAAAAGAAATTCTGGAGTTGAAAAGTACAAAAACTGAAATGAAAAATTCACCAGTGGGGCTCAACAATACATATGAACTGACAGAAGAAAGAAGCAGCACACTTGAAGATTGGTCAAATGAGATTATCCAGTCTGAGGAATAGAAAGAAAAAAGAGTAAAGAAAAAGGAACAGAACCATCTGAGAACTATGGAGCACCGTCAAGTGAACCAATATCCATAATAACAGGAGTCCCAGAGGGAAAAGCGAGAGACAAAAGGCCAGAAAGAATATTTGAAGAAATGGTAACCAAAAGCTACCAAAATTTGATGAAATACATTAATCTGCACATCCAAAGAGTTCAATGCACTCCAAAGAGAAATAGCTCAAAGAAAATCTCACCAAGATTACATTAGAATCAAACTGTCAAAAGTCAAAGACAACGATAGCATCTTCAAAGCAGCAAGGCAGAAGCAATTCATCATGTACAAGGGATCCTTCATAATATTACTAGGCAATTTCTCATCAGAAACCAAGGAGGCGGGGCGCCTGGGTGGCTCAGTCGTTAAGCGTCTGCCTTCGGCTCAGGTCATGATCCCAGGGTCCTGGGATCGAGCCCCACATCGGGCTCCCTGCTCCGCGGGAAGCCTGCTTCTCCCTCTCCCCCTCCCCCTGCTTGTGTTCCCTCTCTCACTATGTCTCTCTCTGTCAAATAAATAAATAATCTTTAAAAAAAAAAAAAAAAAACCAAGGAGGCTAGAATTATTGGGACAATATATTCAAAGTTCTAAGAGAAAAAAAAACTATCAACAAAGTATCCTATTGTCATAGAGCTATCCTTCAAAAATGAATGAGAAAGTAAGACATCACCAGATCAACAATAACTGAGAAAATTCACCATATGGAAATAGAAGAAATATATATATATAAAATATTTTATATAAAAAACATATATATATTGGGGCACCTGGGTGGCTCAGTTGGTTAAGCAGCTGCCTTCGGCTCAGGTCATGATCCCAGGGTCCTGGGATCGAGCCCCATGTCGGGCTCCCTGCTCGGTGGAGAGTCTGCTTCTCCCTCTCCCTCTGCCTGCCGCTCTGCCTACTTGTGCTCTCTCTCTCTGTCAAATAAATAAATAAAAACCTAAAAATACATATATATTTATACTTATACATAAATATAAATAATATAAGAAATACTAAAAGGCGTACTTTCAGCTGAAATGAATGAAAGGGCACTAGACAGTAACTCGAATCCACATGTAAAAATAAATAATACTAGTACAGGTAACTGTATAGGTAAATACAAAAAAGAGGGGATGCTTAGGTGGCTCAGTCCATGTTAAGCGTCTGTCTTTTGCTCAAGTCATGATCCCAGGGTCCTGGGATCAAGTGCGGCATCAGGCTTCTTGTTCAGCAGGGAGCCTGCTTCTCCCTCTGCCTGCCACTCCCCCTGCTGGTGCTTTCTCTCATTCTGACAAATAAATAAATTTAAAAATCTATAAAAAAGAGTATATATGTATATTTTATTTGTAACTCTTTTTTCTCCTAATTTAAAGGACAGTTGCATAAAGCAATAATTATAAATCTGTGTTGATGAGCATGCAAGGTATAAAGATGTAATTATTACAATAAAAGTACAAAGAGGGACAGATAATGAAGTTATATGGAAGCAAACTCTTTGTATACTACTGAAATTGAGTTGCCATTTATCTGAACTGGATTGTTATCATTTAAGATGTGAATTGTAATCCACACGGCAAGCAAGAAGAAAATAATTCCAAATAAATAGAATTTAAAAAATGACAAGGGAATGAAAATGCTTTTTAACACAAAAGAAGGAAGTTATGGAGAAATGTAGGAACAAAAAAGACAGGATATAAAAAACAAGGAGCAACATAGCAGTCACAAGTCCTACATTATCAGTAATTACATTAAATGTGAATGGATTAAGGGGCACCTGGGTGGCTCAGTTGGTTAAGCATCCAACTCTTGATTTTGGCTCAGGTCATGATCTCAGGGCCATGAGATCCAGCCCCATATCAGGTTCCATGCTGGTCATGGAGCCTGCTTGGGATTCTCTCTCTCCTTCTCTCTCTGCCCCTCCCCCCACTCTCTCTCTCTCTCTCTCAAAAAAAAAAAATGTGAATAGATTAAACAATACAACCAAACGGAAGAGATTGGCAGAATGGATATAAAAATCATGGTCTATCTTTGTGCTGTCCACAAGAGACACACTTTAAATTCAAAGACACAAATAGATGGAAAGTCAAGGGATAGAAAAAAATATACCATGCAATGAGTAACAAAAAGAGAGATGCACTGACTATACTAATAACAAACAAAATAAACTTTTAAGACAAAAGTTGTTACTAGAGACAAAGACATTTTATAAGAATAGAAAAACATTTTATAAGAGTATATGGAGATATATATATATATATATATATCACAACAGAGTCCCAAAATACATGAAGCAAAATCTGACAGAATTGATGAATAGACAATCCAACAATAATATTTGGATACTTGAATACCCTAATTTCAATAATGGATAGAACAACTAGGCATAAGAGCACCAAGAAAATAGAAGACTTGAACAACACTATAAATCAACTACATCTAATAAACTTCTATAGAATACTCCACCCAACACAGAATACACATTGCTCTAAAGAGCACATGGAAGATTACCCAGGATAGGCCATATGTTAACTCATAAAAAAGTCTTGATAAATTTTAAAGGACTGAAGTCATACGAAGTCTGTTCTCCGACAACATCAGAATGAAATTAGCAGGAAATTTGGGAAACTCACAAATACATGGAATTAAATACATCCTCAAATACCTAATGGTTAAGTGAGGACATAACAAAGTAAATTAGAAAATACTTGAAGATGAATGAAAACGAAACCAAAACACTTCAAAACCTATGGATTATGACTAAAGTAGTGTTTAGAGAACAATTTATTGCTGTATATGCCTATATTTTAAAAAAACCCAGAAGATCTCAAATCAATACCTAACCTACTACCTTAAGAGGTTACACAAAGGGGTGCCTGGCTGGCTCAGTGGGCAGAGCATGTGACTCTTGGTCTCCAGGTCATGAGTTCAAGCCCCACAATGGGTGTAGAGATTACTTAAAAAAAAAGTCTACACGGGGGGGCGGAGCAAGATGGCAGAGGAGTAGGAGACCTGGATTTCGTCTCCTCTCAGGAATTCAGCTGGATAGGGATCAAACCATTCTGAACACCTACAAACCCAACAGGAGATCGAAGAAAGGAATAGCAACAACTCTCTGAACAGAAAAGCGACCACTTTCTGGAAGGTAGGACGTGCGGAGAAGTGAATCCAAGGCGATATTCGGGAGAATAGACGGCGGGGGAGGGGCCTCCGTCAGCCGCTTCTTGCAAGTGATAGAGCCGCGGAGCACAAAATCGGAACTTTTAAAAGTCTGCTCCGCCGAGGGACGTCACTCTGGTGGCTAAGCGGGGGGTGGAACCCTCCGGGACAGTGTGGTCTCAGGACCCTTGGGGTCACAGAAAGACCGGGGGTGCCTGAGTGTGGCAGAGCTCCCAGGTATCAGAGCGGGGAAGCTGGCTGCAGAGGCGGAGCCCAGGCGCGGGCTCTCAGCTCGGGGTGGCCATAAACCGTGATCCGCGGCACAGTCGGGCCCCTGCTCCTCCAGCAGGGACCCAGCAAGCGGCAGATCCGGGGAGACTCACCTTCCTCCCCTGGGAGGAGCCGCGCGGGAGCGCACTGCGGGGATCTGCTGGGTTGGAGACTCCACCCGGGGTCGGGTGCCAGAGACAGAGGCTCGCGGTCGCAGGCCGGGTGAGCACGAAGTGTGGCCGGAGACCAGGGAGACGGGAGTGACTGACTGCTTTTCTCTGGGGGCTCACTGAGGAGCGGGGCCCCGAGTTCTCGGCTCCTCCGGGGCGGAGATTGGGAGGCCGCCATTTTCACTCTCCGCCTCCAAAGCTGTACGGAAAGCGTGCAGGGAACAAAAGCCCCGGAGAGCAAACCCGAGCAGATTACTTAGCCCGGACTGGGCAAGGGCGGAGCAATTCCGCCTCCGGCAGAGACATTTGGAAACCACGGCAACAGGCCCCTCCCCAGAAGATCAGCGAGAACAGCCAGCCAAGACCAAGTTTACCGATCAATGAGAACGGCAGAACTCCAGTGCTAGGGGAATACTGCACATAGAATTCACGGCTTTTTTACCATGATTCTTTAGTCTTTTAAAGTTAATTTTTTTTAACTGTCTTTTTTGTCTTTTTATTTCTTTTTGGATTTTTCTTTTTCCCTTTTTCAACCAACATCTTATCAATCCCTTTTTTTAAAAAAAACATTTTTATTTTTCATTTTTAGAGTCATATTCTATCCCTTCATAGTAGTTACCCGTATTTTTGGCTTATATATATAAGTTGTTCTCTCTTTAAAATTTTGAGATAGTTTCTTCTAACAGATTAAAATACACCCTAAATCTCTAGTATATGGTGTTTTCTATTCCCCTGCCTGATCACATCCTCTCCCTTTTTTTTTCTTTTTTCTTTTCTTAAAGCCTCTTATTTCTTTTTTCAAACAACTTCTTATCAATTCCTTTTATAAAATTTTTTATAATTTCTGGGGCGCCTGGGTGGCTCAGTTGGTTAAGCGACTGCCTTCAGCTCAGGTCATGATCCTGGAGTCCCAGGATAGAGTCCCGCATCGGGCTCCCTGCTTGGC